TAGAGCCAGAAACTGCATGTCACTGCCCACTACCACTAAAAAGAGGGTGGACACTCATCTATACAGTCATAAATGTAAGGGATCTTTGGGATTACCAAGCCTATTCCCAGATCAAGAAACTGTGGTCCAGACAGGGGCATAGACTTGCCTCAAGGGCACAGGGAACTGATAGGAGGACTAGGACTAAAACAAGTGCCCTGGCCCAATTGTCCACCCAGATGCATGCTCAGGGAAGGTGGAAAGGGAAGGAAACCTACCCTGATAATAGGTTCTACTCAGACTTGTAGCAAGAAGAAACTAGAGAATGACATGTGGGAGTGATGAGCTTTGAAATGCAGCCACCATGCTCTCTAACAAAACATTCCCAGTGATTTTCTACCCATTCAGACTAACAACTCCTTCTTTATTGTTAATTAAGATAACAATCATTGCTGTGAACCTAAAACTTCTCTAAAAAATAAAGTCTGTTTTTAAAAAGAAGACAGTAAGGAAGTGAGAAGGAAGGGAAGCATGGAGGGAGGAATCTGAGATGACACATTCCTATCTATACTTACTAGAAACCCAAAATACAGGTAAATTTATTAAATGGTTTGCAGAGGCATTATGAAATTTGTCTCCTAGAAATTGGCTACTCAGAAGCAGTTTTGAGATGCTTCCAGGTGTACCAGCAGCTAGTCTTAGAGAGGCACACTTTCATTCCGTACCTTCTATTTTTAGTACCTCTGTCATGCATCATGACTCATGCATGCAGAGGGCTGTGCCACGTTTATCATCATCCCAAAAGCAGTGTGAAAATCTGCTTTCCTGGGCCGACCAGTTAGCTTACTTGGGAGAGCTTGGTACTGATAACATAAAGGTCAAGATTTTGGATTCTCCTACCTACCAGCCAGCCACCGAAAAAAGAAAACAGATTACTGAAGTTTGCTTTCCACCAGGGGCATTTAGATTCAGAGCTGTCTTAGCATTCCCACTTGCTCCATGTCTGAGACAGTCTAAAAGTGAGTGAGGAATTGGGAACAACCTTTTCTTTCACAATTAGAGAGAAAGCTCAAAGTGAAAATATTGATTGAGGCAGCACATGGAAAGGACAAACCTGATGTGATGATTATTTGCTCTTTTAAATGAAGCACTCGTTTCAGACGTGGATGACTGACCTGTTTTGATGTGGGGTAGTGCTGGGTTAGGGGGCTATTGGCTGCTGGAACTAAAGGGAGAATTTACCATAGAAGGCAGGAGAAGAGGGAGGACCAGCAGGTCAGAAGAAGCAGAAGATGCTACTCGATAATTTTGTAGATACACTTACAGCTGCCAGGATTAAGGAGGAGCTGGGCTGCTGAGATGTGTTTACCTGTCTGCTGAGAATGCAGAATTCCTGAAGCTTGTTTGCTTTGAAGAATCTTTTGAAAACTAACATTGTCCTTCTTAGAAAAATCACTGGATATGGTCATTTCTGCCTTTAAGCAGATACCCATCTTAACATGTTAACACCTCAATTTTAAAATTAATCAGCCCAAATTCATCCCCTTATTTGTGGGATAGCAATAGTCTCACCACAGGTCAGAGATGGCTCATTTATTTCCGAATGGCTGAGGTTTTTCTCTCCTTGGTTGTGGCTGGTCTTCTCAGTGACAGGGCTCAGTCTTTCCTCTCCCTGTGCCCTCCTCTTCAGGGCATTTTTCCCTCCCCACAGCCTCCCTGGCTGTGCAGGTCTGCACCTGGTCCTTCCATCTTCACTTATCACTTTATTCCCCAGATGGGGGCTGAAAGAAAGTGAGCTGAGCTGCTGGGTACCATTCAAGCTTTATTACAGGAAGAAAATCTGCTGGGTGGAGGTCAAAGTAGCAGGAATCCCAGGGCTGCCCTGAAAAGGGGACAGCACCAGGTGTAGGGGTGGTAGAGCTTATACTGGTATGTTGGCACAAAGAGCTGGGTGATGTAATTCCAGGGTGGGGATTGAATTAGGTCATGGGAATGGAGAGTTCTGCACATGTGGAAATGCCAAAAGTTTCATTTTCTCTGAAACCATGAGGCTTCTTGTAAAAGAGAATGGGGGAGGGGAGGGGAGGATGTGGACAGTGACGTTTTGTACTTGGGCTTTTCTTTTCTTTTTTTTTTGTCTTTTTTTGAGACCGGCCACACCGTGCTCAGCCAGTGAGTGCTGTGAGCGCACCAGTCATCCCTATATAGGATCCGAACCCGCGGCGGGAGCGCTGCTGCGCTCCCAGCGCCGTACTCTCCCGAGTGCGCCACGGGCTTGGCCCTGTACTTGGGCTTTTCTAAAGTGGCACTGGTTATGTTGCAGATCTATTAGGGGCCCCCAGGTGTGGGGAGCCAGAAGCTAGGTGTGGGGAGCTGGTGAGTTTGCAGATGTGGATGCAGCAAAACTCCAAGTGAATGTCCTTAAAAGCTCCACCAAAGTGTTCTCTTAGGACTAACAGGAGGGAAAATGAGGATCTTTGTTGTTTTGCCTCCCACGGATTAGTCACTCCTTTTCCCCTGGGTGATGGAGCTGCCAAAGATTACTCAAAGCCCATCTCTTCTGAGCAGTGAGAAGCCCCCAAAATGGATTAATCTCCTGGAATCCTCAAGAACGAGGCATTCCTTCCATTTGGGAAATTAACCACGAATTGGGGTTCTCTTCCTGCATTTATTCTCCAGACCAGGAAGTTACAGGAAGAGAACACAGGTGGGTTTTTTTCTAAGTAGAGTTTAACAAGTTTAACAGTAGAAGCTGGTAACATTCAGTAAGAAAAGCAAGGTGACATTCTATAATACATTAAGTCAATCCACTAACAAAAGCTTGATTTTGGCAAACATTCCATTCTTACAGCAATTTCCCAGTATCTTTACATATCAATCAGTAACCTGTCTTTGAGCCAGCAACTTTGCTGTGTTACAATTCTTTATCTTACAACAGAGACTATATAGCCTGGGGAAATTTTCCTGTCCTTTGCAAGGTCAATATTTGAAATTGCAAGGCTTTGGAAATCCAGGCCCTGTGAAGTACATTTGTTTTATGAATACTTCACAGATCTTTGCAGCTGGAAACAAGTGTGAGATGAACTTAAAGAAAAATTTGATTGAAAACGATATATTTAGAAAATTGATGTTTCCTCTTTTTTCTCCTCCATTCTCACTTCCAGTAAGGAGTGAGATCCCCATTGCCTCAGAAATGCAGGAATGGCCCTTTCCTATCTGCAGGTCGTCTTCCTCATGCAGAGCCCCAAAAGAGCTAAGGATTTATTCTGCATTAGAAGATCACAGCCACTCTCAACATCTATAAATGTGTTTAGATTTAGGCAGTGTTGTAGATTTAGACAATGACAGAACTGGTCATACTGGCTGGAAGTAGGGCCTTTCTCTAGTTCTGCGACCTTATCCAGAGCCAGATGTACCTGTAAATGGGATCAAATGTAATGATTAAGGGGTGACAGAAGCTGAGTCTAGTCCTTTCAGTGGCTCTGAGGAAGGGTAACAAAGAACCAAGCTGACTCACAGTCCAAGTACTTGGGGAACCTGTGAGAGACAGTGCCAGCAAGCCCACGGAGAGCCATTGCTCCACACCACTTAGTACAGGAGGGCAATTTTCACTCTGAGTTAGACTCTAGTAGCAGAAAGACCAATGACTGGGAAGCCATGAGACCTGGGTTCTAATCTCATCTGTGCCACTAACTAGCAGGGGGCCATGAGCAAGTCATTTAAAAGGCAGGGGTTACCTTAGGCCAGAGATGGCAAATGTGTGTCACACACACCCTTACCTCTCTTGTGCCTTCAGGAAAGGCTGTTGTTCAACCACATTACTTATTAGAATGTTTTTCTATAGCATTCTAGGCAGGCACTTCCAACTGGAGCTGGTTTACAAGCTGAAATCTACTTGCTATTCCTCAGTTCCATGATCACTAAAGTCTCTTCTAGGTCAAAAATTTAAGGTTCTGACTTTCCAAGTAAGAGAAAACCATTTTCCTAACTTAGTAATAGCTCACCCAAATAAAAAGAAAATGGAAATTTAGGATCATAATTTAATAGACTCCTTCTCCCCACCCTGAGGCTAAGTAATGTTGGGGCCCAGAAAGCGATACCCCAAGGTGAAGATCTCAGAAGCAGCCTCAAAAGCAAAGTTTTCCTCTGACCTTGTCCTGTTCTCCTGTCTCTCATCCTCCTTCTCCCCTGAGGTAAACTATAGAAACTAGAATCTCTCTTCCCCATGGTGGGTCACAGACATTCTCTAATCTCCCCCGCCCCCTACCTTTCTGTCTTGGAGATGGCCATAAAGAAATTCTCTCACCTACCTTGTCTGATTGTAGGTCATAAGACACTCATTCTAGAAAGGGTTCTGTCCCATAACTTGGGGGAATGAATGTTACACAGAGAGGCCAAGAAGAATCTTAGACAGGCCTTGCTGGATTTCCACACTCAGTCTATGAACATTAGATCATGTTTCTTGTCTAATCACATTTTTACATGGCTGTGTCTGCTTCATAGAACCAAAGTATAAATATGGACAATTTTCTCTAAATCTTTGGGTCTTCATTCTGAAGGCTCCTGTGTCACATAAAACTATGATATCATAAAATTTGTTGTGCCTTTTCTTCATATTAATCTGTGTTTATCGGATGATTTTTCAGGGAACCTTCAGGGGGTTGAAGGGGATGTCTTCCCTTGGCCCCTACAACAGGGTCCTCCTGAAGTCATGCTCTCTTTCCTTGTGGCAGGGAATTATAGTATTTGAGCTTTACCCTCTGTCAGTTCATGACAGCATGACAGTGTCCCAGACTATTGATCCCTTTTAATCTAAAACATCCCATACATAATAGCCTTATACTTGGCATCAAGGAATCTGCAAGGAAAGGAATTTTCTCAAGTCACTAAAATCCAAGAGTTAGAAGGAAAGGCATTTAATGACTCCATTAGTCGACTTGCCAACTAATCAAATTTACAGTTCTTACCCCTTGCTGGAAAGCAACCACAGAAACAGTGCCTGGATGGATCAGCTTCAGGAATCAGGTGGTTGCAACTGTGTTTTATTGAAAGAGGCAGTAAAGTGGTTGACATGGGCCCCACCTCACAACCCACTCCTCACCCACAAAACCATGCACGGGCAAGATTCAGGAGAGGGGAATGTGTGTATGTTGGATAGGAACCCTGCCTGGAGTTACTTCTTTCAGGACAAGGAAGGAAGAGGGGAGAGGCAGGTGTCAAAATGATGAGGTGTGAGGGGAACATCTCACTGCTCTGGCCTCAGCTGGACTACTCCACAGAAGCGTCGTAGTGGACTGGCACATACGGGTCCCCCTCACAGGCCACAACGATGTGACTGTCTTTACTGGTGGTCTTGTATGTGCAGTCAGGGTAGCTGGAGCTGCTTGTGAGGCGGCAGTCTGTGATGCTCATGCTAGAGGTGCTCTGGTAGCAGTTGGTCTGCCCATTCTTGCAGGCGACATTTTCCTGGAAGCAGACGGCCTGGACATCTACCAGGGACTCGTGCACAAAGGTGTTCACCTGCTTGCACCATCCATCCGTCATATTCCGGCGCTTCATCATTTCATTGCAGTAGGTGCTGCTGCTGGGGGAATTGCCTGGGTCCATGTGCTGCCGCTCAAACTTCATGGCTGAAGTTTCCTTGCCCAGGGAAGGCTGGACCCACCCCAGCACCAGTAGCACCAGGACTAGCAGTGGGAACAGGATAAGGGACTTCTTCAGAGCCATGGTGGCCTCACTCCTCTGGAAGAGCCTAACTGGGAAAGGGAAAGAGAAGGAAAAGCATTGCCTTACAAGGAAAACTACAGCTCCCACCTATGGCTTCCCCAGCTTGCAGTTTTCCTCTCAGGTCAGCCAGAAGACATCCCTCTTCCTCAGAGATTTTCCAAGTAATGTGACACTCACACATTTCCTTTCCCAACAGTGTTTTACCCTCACTCACTAGAGAAGCCTTTCTCCCCTCTAGGTGGTGACCTACAAAGTGACTGAAAATCCTGGCAGTACTGTCTTTGAATACCAGAGTTTCTTTGACCTAAAACACATTTGAAAAATAAAGTGCATTTGTACCCAGGGCTCAAATGGCTCATCAGAAAATCATTTTGAATAAACCATGAACCAAATTGTATCCCTGACATTCATGACCTTGGCTGACAGCCTTGTTGTCAGACAACACAAAAGGAACTCAGTCCAGTGCCTGACACTGGCATCATCAAGGGATTCCATTGTATTCCAAAGAAAGATGCTTGCCTCCCCCAGCGCATTCATGACCTTGGCTGACAGCCTTGTTGTCAGACAACACAAAAGGAACTCAGTCCAGTGCTTGACACTGGCATCATCAAGGGATTCCATTGTATTCCAAAGAAAGATGCTTGCCTCCCCCAGCGTGGGGCTCTTTCTCCAGCCCTATGGGTTCAGAATCCAGAGTGCTAAGCATTACACTATGAAACCCCCAGCCCTGTGAGTTCTTTGCGGCCTGCATGTTTCATGCCCAATCACTCTGCCCTAGCTGGTGTTTGCCTGGCCCAGGATTTTTCAGTGCTAGTGTCAGCCCAAGCTTTCTCAGCACCAGCAATCACCCACCTGGCTCCCTCCTCTCCAATCCTCAAGCAGATGCAGCTCCTGAGACCAACTTTTGGGCCACTTACCTGGGTCTCTAGCTTGGTGTCCAGGAGGCAAAGGAAGGCCAGTTTCTGCAATCACTCAGTCCCTGGGATGTGGACTTTATACAGATTACAGAGAGGTTTTGCTTCCAACAAGAGAAGGGTGGGAGGAGCATCTTGATAAAAACAAGGACACTGTGAGGAAGGGGTGGGGAATCATCTAGGGCACCCCCTTTTCAGGGCTGTTGGAGAGAGAGTAAATTTTTGCCTATAGGACTCTTTCTTACCTGTGAATCTTATCTGTCTGCAGATTCACAAAAAAGCAGCAGAGAAAGCCACTACAGCACTGGCACCCAAACCTCACACACCCCACAAAGTCCTTGTTACCTCTTGTGGGCCATTTTCACCAAACAGCCCTTAGAGGTTAACAAAGAGCACATAAGGTCCCCGTGGGAAAGGGAAACCATCTCTCCTCAGGAGTCCTGTACCAGCTTTGGCCAAAATTCTACATCTCCCTACAGCACCTCTCATGGTGGGTGGGAGTTGGGGGAGGGTTGTCCTGCTGCCCCCAGCTGGAAGGCTTCCTAGACCTGGAGAAGAAAGGGAGATAGTGCCTGGACAGGGAGAAGGCCTGGAGGGTGAGCTCAGCCAGATCTGGCCGCTTCCCATGCACCCTGCACCCCTACCTGGGATGGGGGGAGCGGTTCTTGTCTACAGTGACCACTGATTCTGCAGATCAGAGTTGAGTAGAGAAAATAAAGACAAACCCAAACCCCAAATACTTATTGGTGAAAAAATACAAAGAACATATTTCTTAGCAGCAGAATTTCCTCCTAGAAAGAGACCTGTTTTTGCTGGGTGACAACTTTGATACATGTGAAATAAGAATTACCAAAATATCCTTCCATGCTCTGGATTCATACTGACTCAGTCCAAATTCTGGCTCAGAACCTTAAGAGCTGAGCAAGTTGCAGAACTTAATTTCCCTGTTCTTCAATTTTCTCATCTCTAAAATGGGGATAATAATATGTACTACTTAGATTTATTGTTAGTTTGAAATAAAGTAAGATGAGTAGAAGGCTTAGAGGAGTGGCTGGCATAAAGAAAATATCAATATGTGTCAGCTCTTGGGATGGTTCATACAGGGTGGGGTTGAGACACCCCAAGGAGTATGTTTATTTATTTATTTATTTATTTTAAAGATGACTGGTAAGGGGATCTTAACCCTTGGCCTTGGCATCATGATGAGCACCACACTCTCCCAAGGGAGCCACGGCTGGCCCCAAGGAGTATGTTTAAACAACACAGGGTGGTCTTCCAATTGCTTTCTGAAGCAGTGGAGTCAAATAACTGAAAGGCTTTTGTTTTGCTAAAAACTTGAACTGAAAATAGCTAGCAGTTTTGAAGTCCTGCAGAGGAATAAAAGAGGAAGAAGAGAGAAAAGAGGGACTTGGGTGAGAAGAACAAAATTATTTAAAGGGGAATTTCCAAATTGTTTTGCCATGTGGTGTCCAAATAAAATCAGCATTACTTGCTAATGTGTGTGAATTTAGACATGGAAGTGGAGGTAAGGAAGACACGGTGTAGCATAAGCTTTTAGTTTCATGTTCCATAATTTTCCCACTCCCCCAGCCCCCATCCAGGTCCTCTTTGTCTCAGAGTCCTTAGGTAGTACAGTACTTGTATTGTCTTGAGTGGTCAGGTTAGAACTTGTTCACTCATTCATTAAACAGTGGGGGTTCAGAGATAAATAAGGCACAGGCTTGCTCAAAGGTGCCTGGTGGGATGGTTTGGTGTAGGCATGTGGATCCCACGAAGACACTGGGCATGGCTGCACAGAAATGGCCATTCTTTTGGCACCTTCCAGGTGCCAGAAAAATTTCAGAGAGTTGGTCCAGCAAGATGATTTCAGAACCAAGTTCAGATATGAACAGGCCTCTGTCACCTAAATAATGCTCTTGAAGACATTGTGTCTATTTGTGCATGGCCACCTGGACAAGCCCTTGGAGTTTTAATTCAACTTCATGGGGAACCATCAAAAACCCTTACTGTAGCCTGACCTGTGACCCAGTCGAAGGCATAGCCTTCTTGTCTTAGGGCAGTGGCTGCCACTGTAGCACTTGCTGATGCTTCTGCTAGTCCTAGTCTCCCTGCCTGACCTCATGTTCTTCAGGCAGTACAGACATTACAACTGGTTGGGAACACAGAGCACTTTTCAGGCAGCTGGTTAACCTCTCAGAAGAGTCTATTACTCTCCGCCTCTGACATTACTATATACTACACCCTGAATCCTGTCACTCTCCTGCCCCTACCAGAAGAAAGGGAGCCTCATGACTGTCTTACCTCAGTTAGAGAACATTCTGTATCTCACTCAGATTTATTAGAGACTCTTATTGAGAATCCTGGTCTAATATTATTTGCTGATGGATCATATCTCAAAACTGAAACTTGGGATTATTATAAGGAGAAAAAAACCAAAATAATCTCTTTCTCTACCCTCTTACATTCTAGCATGAGGGCCCTGTAAATTAAACTGATGAAAGATAGATTTAACAGAACAGGTGTGCAGGTTTTATTTGATGTCAATATTTTTACATGAGCATGGGAGTCTTCTTAAGAAAAGAAGTGAAGATCCGAAGAAGTAGTTAAACCTGAAAGTTTATATACTATTTTAACAAAGAAAATTGTGCAGAAGTGACAAGACACAGGAAAAGGGTTTTGAGGGCTTCTGAGGGCGGGGGTGAAAAGGTAACTAGAAAACACATGGTAAATAAGGGTTGTTTAGTAAGATTTGTTACACAAACTCAAGTTGATTGCTTTCTCCATTTCTTAAAAATAATCTCCTATGATTAAGTAATTCTCCTCTTTCTGGCACAGGAAAAAGAGTCACTTTTACAAATGGAAATTTTCATTATAGATATAAATTTCCCTTACAAAAGTGAAACTTATGTACTGCTTTTAGAGCTTTTCCTGCATTTGCTATTTCTCAAAATAATCAACTCAAAATTATTGAGCTAGCATATTCTAGCTTCCTACATTATCAAGTAGGATATGTTACCACTATTCTAAACTCTCCCTCAGAATATAGTCTACTCCCTGAAGTACAATCAGCCCAGATGGTGAAACTTACTGGAGCTTGCCAACAAGACGAAGACTAGAGAGCAAACATATTCAGGCAGCAGGTGTAATTTGGGAGTAGTATATGACTTTCGGATGCTTTGGAGACAAGCATTAAAAATAAAGAGCATATTAAGGAAGTTTTAGATGCAGTCCTCTTTCCGAGACAGGTGGCTACTATAGAGATGGAGGTCCATGTTAAGAGGCAATATGGAAGCTAAACGAAATGCTCCAGGAGATCCTTATGCCAAACAGCTGCTTTAACCAAGGTTATGATTCTATCTAAACCTTCAAAGGATAAATCTCTGGAGGGATTCAAAGAGGACGTTATAAAATATGAACATTTAGCCCCTGATTTTGCAAAAGAAGAATAGAAAAAATCTGGTTCTACACTTCACTTAGATAATCCCTGGGGCTCTGAAGACAGCTGCTTCATGACACCAGATGATTTCAAGTGGATATTATTGAAGGAGTTCAAAATACACCACCCCAAAATATGCCACTCTAGCATATTGATTATTTCTAATTAAAGGCACTTGGAAAACAGCAGATGCAAGAAGGGCACTCTGGCCTTCCTAAAGACAGGAGATAAAACTCCATGTAAAAGTGCCCTCCCTGCACCTGGAGGAAGGAAGACATTCTCATCACCAGAGATGGGGGAGTTGGGCCAGCCCATGGCTCACTCGAGAGAGTGCGGTGCTGATAACACTAAGACCACGGGTTCGGATCCTATATAGGGATGTCCGGTTCAGCCCATGGCTCACTCGAGAGAGTGCGGTGCTGATAACACTAAGACCACGGGTTCGGATCCTGTATAGGGATGTCCGGTTCCTCACTTGGGAGAGTGCGGTGCTGACAACACCAAGTCAAGGGTTAAGATCCCCTTACCGGTCGTCTTTAAAAAAAAAAGAGAGAGATGGGGGAGTGGAGGTTGAGAGAAATGTGTACAAACAAACCTTGTTAAATTAACCCTTACCTTCCCACTCACTCCTCTACAATCAACAGCCCTAGCTCACACCCCTTTGTCTTGTTTTCACAATTTACTACTCTTTGTCCAACTTAGTATATAAACATCTGGCTCAAACTGCTTCTTTGGGTCTTTATTTCCTTATGAAGGCTCCTGTTATGTAAAACATTTTAAATACATTTTTATGCTTTTCTCTTATTAATCTGTCTTTTGTTACAGAGCCCCAGTGAGAATCTAATACAAGTAAGAGAGATTTTTTTCCTCCCCTACATTATCTAAATTTCTCTATGAAATACCCATCATGGAATACACAAATTGATTACTTTCCCAACTTGGACCAACCAGAGAAACCCAAATATGTACCACTAACCAATCACATAGGATGCCCTCCTTCGAGTTAGCCCACCCAGAGCTTTCCCATGCCACAGCCTCCAACCAGGGCATACCTGAAGCCCTCCCTTTTTTTTCACTGTGAAGATTTCCCACTCTTCTGCCTGCCTTTGAGTCTGCCAAATTCAAGTGATGGCAGCTGACTCCCTTGCTATAGCAAACTCCAAATAACTAGCCTTTGCTTGTTCTCATTTGGGTGGTTTTGTTCATTTCCACAGATCTTTAAAAGAACAAGAAGGGAGTATGTACAGGATAAGGATATTTTTACATGAAAAGCTCAGAAAATTTCATGTATGTCCTATCATTAGGCTGGTTCCAAAAGCTCAGTACAGCCCCCCAAACAACACACACACCTGACATGCACATGATTATAATATGCACACACACACAAATACACAATAGCATTCTGGGGTTCCTTGTGAAACCCAAAAAGTGAGAAAGCAGAAAAAAACTAGAACAGGAAAAGGTGGAAGCGTGGTGGCAGGCAAAGGGAGTTGACCAGTGATTGAAAGGGGAGGAAAGTGAGAGGAAAGGATGGAAGAAATAGCCAAAAGAGATCAGAAGCCAGTGCTGGCCTGACTCCTCCCATTCTTATTTGCTACAACCCAGATGCCCGTAGAGATAAACTTGAGTATCAGCCAA